ACAGGTACATACAGACACAAACGGATAGCTAGCTAGCTAGCTAGCTACGCACAAAGACAGCTAGCTAGATAGCTGGCTAGCTTGCTACGCACAAAGACAGCTAGCTAGCTAGCTAGCTAGCTAGTTGGGGGGCTTACAAGTATGAGTACTGCGGGTTTGGGGTGTAGGTAGACAATTTGAGCGAAAGCCCCCTTCTCTGCTGATGTCCAGCCTTTCTGTCTACATCCCATTCGCAGCACGCGGCCTGAAGGATCTAGCTCGCCTGCTGCTGCTGCTGCTGCAGCTGCTGCTGCTGCTGCTGCTGCTTCAGCAGCCACATGCCCTGCTGATGCTTCCAGCGCTGAAGCAGAAGACGCACTATCCTCCGCTGCAGCACCAGAACCAAAAGCAGCAGCAGTTGTTGCAGCAGCGGCAGCAGGAACAGCAGCAGCAGCTGCAGCGCTCGCCTCTCCTGTGCCAGTGCCATTCAATTCTGCTGCTGCTTCCGTTGTCGCTGCAGCAGGCGGCTGATGCCCGTCGACCTGTTGTTGCTGCTGCTGTTCCGCAGCAGCAGCAGCAGCAGCAGCAGCAGCTGGGCCAGCCTCAGCCGCAGCTGCAGCTCCAGCTGCATCAGGAGCCGCCGCACCAACACCAGGAGCAGCAGCATCAGCAGCATCGGGAGCCGCAGCAGCATCACCAGGAGCAGCAGCAGCATGAGCAGCAGCAGCAGCAGCAGAAGCAGGGTGCAGCACGGGTTCTGTAGGCCAGAAGACCTTATCAAATACAATAACTATTTTATTAATCGCCCCCATCCCTACGGCGTGTATTGTTTGCTTCTTCCAGTCTGGTAAAGGAGGAGTGAAGCGCACAAGGCCTGCCTTGCTGCCTGCTGCTGCTGTTGCTGCTGCTGCTGCTGCTGCTGCTGCTGCTGCTGTTGGCGGTGGTGCTGCTGCTGCTGCAGCATCAGCTGATGCACTCGCACTCACGCTCAACGACCCAGTAAGAGAGTCGCTGGCAACAACGCCGTCGCTGCTGCTGCTGCTGCTGCTGGGAGCGCGGCAGCAAGCCCTAGCCTGTGCTGCCTCAACTGCTGCTCTTGCTGTACCACAAGCAGCAGCAACAGCAGCACGAACACCTGCGTCGATGGCTGATGCAGCTGCTGCTGCTCCTCCCGCTGTAGCAGGAGGTGGGATTGCAGCAGCAGCAGCAGCAGCTGCTGCTGCTGCTGCTGCTTCGGAGTCGTCCTGAGGCACACCCCTTGCGCGAAGCAGCTCTTGCGCAGCATTTGCTGCTGCTGCAGCAACAGCAGCAGCTCGTCTTTCTATGGATGCAGCAGCTGCAGCAATTGCATCCGACCCTCCTGCGGCAACTGCTGCCTCTGCTGCTGCTGCTGCTGCTGCTTCCGCTACAGCAGAGGCCCTAGCTGCTGCAGCAGGACTTACCCCCTGAGCTCGCACAGCAGCAGCAGCAGCGGCTGCTGCTGCTGCATCGAGTTGCTGCAGCAGCGTGTTGCTGCTGCGCCCCGGTGCTCCCGCTGGTATGGGAGCAGCAGCTGCTGCGGCTTTGTCAGCAGCAGCAGCAGCATCAACCGCAGCTTGCTGCTGCTGCTGCTGCTGCTGCTGCAGCGCATGAGGAGAGTCGCCTGTCTTTATCAGGTTGCAGATATTATCCGGCAACGCCAAAGGGATGGGGAGTTCATGGAAGCTGTCGAGACACCCGAAGTAATCGTTAGGTGGTGGTGCTGCTGCTGCATCTCCTGCTGCTGCTGCTGCTGCTGCTGCTTCCGCTGCACCAACCGTCGCTATTGCTGCTGCTGCAGCATTGGCAGCAGCTGCTGCGCTCGATGCTGCTGCTGCTGTATTCAGCTCCAACCCGTGCAGCGCCATCTTCCCGTAGCAGCTGCCGTTGGCTGCAGCAGCAGCAGCAGCTGCTGCTGCTGCTGCAGTTGCCTCAAACCCCACAGATACGTTGCGGCTCATAGCGGCCTCCGCCATACCCAGCATCCTTGCTGCTGCTGCTGTTGTTGCTGCAGCAGCAGCTGCTGCTGCTGGTAAACCAGATCCATCCTGCCCATCAGCACTGTCATCTTCTGCTTCTGCTGCTGCTGCTGCTGCTATTTGTGCTGGTGTTTGTACTGGTGCCGTGTCTGGTCCCGCGCATGTGCTGCTGCTGCTGCTGCTGCTGCTGGTGCTGCTGCTTTCAGAGCCAGAAGCCTCTAAGGAGGCCTTCAGCACCCCTGCAGCAAACCCAAGGGCAGCAAAAACCACGGGGGTTGTTCATCCGCAGCAAAAAACGGCAGCAGAAGCAGCAGCAGCAGCAACACCACCAGCCGCAGCCGCAGCATGAACAGCTGCAGCACCTGCAACAGCCCTAGCGGAGCCAACAGCAGCAAATACAGCAGCAGCACCACCACCGCCACAACCACCAGCAAAACCAGCAGCAGCAGCAGCATAAGCAGCAGCAGGAGTAGCACCAGCAGCAGCAAAGGCAGCAACAGAAATAGCAGCAGCACCAGCAGCAGCAGCACCACGACCACCCACAGCAGCAGCAGCAAAACCAGCAGCAGCAAAAGCAGCAGCAGCAGCAACTAGCAGCAGCAGGAAAAGCAGGAGCACCACGACCAGCAGCAGGAGCAGGAGCAGGAGCAGCAGCAGCAGCAGCAGCAGCAGCAGGGCTACCTAGAGGGAGAGTAATAAGACAGAAATCGAAGGCCTCTGTCTTCGGTCCTGCGAGCAGCTGCAGCACTACGCCACTCTCTACAATGCTAATTTGCTGCACCGGGCTGTTGAGGTGTATCTTTGGAGACCGCAGCAGCAAACGAGCAGTTGCTGCTGCTGTTCCCGCTGCTGCTGCTGCTGGCCCTGCTGCTGGAGGCGCTGCTGCACCTGCTGCTGCTGCTACTGCAGCAGGAGCAGCAAGACACTCCACTAAAGACCGATAACCCCGCTGCAGCATGACGTGCCGCCCAGGCAAACCCGTAGCGTCGTCCTGAACACAAACCCTAAACCCTAAACCCTAAACCCTAAACCCTAAACCATAAAGTCGATAGAGATGGACGTCCACGGCAGCCGCAGCAGCCAACGTCAGCGAAACGAGAACAGAAGCAGCAGCAGCAACAGTAATAACAACAACACCATCACTAGCAGCGGCAACAGCAACAGCAGCAGCAGCAGCAGCCACAGCAACAGCAGCAGCAACAGCAGCAGCAGCAGCACCTGATCCCAAGTGGCTAGACAGAGACTGTTTGCGTCTGCCCCGGTGGAGTACTCTGTATTTGATATATGCCAGTCTAATAAACGACGGCGAGCGCCACGCAAAGCTTCATGCTCTCTCCCTGCAGCTGCAGCAGCAGCAGCAGAAGCAGCAGCAGCAGCATAAGCAGCACCAGCAGCAGCAGCAAATACGGTGAGCACGCCTGCGCTGGATGCTGCTAACGATAAAGGCCAGGGCTCTTTAAAAACATCAAACCCTACATACAACTCAAGCTGCAGCAGCAGCAGCAGCAGCAGAAGCAGCAGCAGCAGCAGCAACAGCAGCAGCAGCAGCAGCAGCATACCTTTGTCTTGCTCTTCCATCTGACTTAAAGCCGCTTCGTTCTTCACCGCAAGATATTCCCCAACAGAAATCTTCAGGGCCTCACGCGTTGCATGCATGCACACTTGCTGCTGCTGCTGCTGCGGCTGCTGCTGCTGCTGCTTGGGCGTTGTTCGGAGGCGTTTAAATGCTTGCTGCTGCTGCTGCTGCTGCTGCGGCGTTTGGGGGGCCTGGCGCTTCAGGGCTCTCCGCTTTAAAGGCAAAGAATGAGCGCGTTGGGCTGAGTGCATTTGCTGCTGCTTCTGCTGCTGCTTCTGCTGCTGCCGCTGCTGCTGCATCTGCTGCTGCAGTTGCTGCTGGCGTTGCAGGAGGCGTAGGAGGACGCGGTTTTGCTGCTGCAGTCTCTGCTGCTGCTGTTGCTGCAGCTCTGCGCACTTGGGGTGTGTGCACAGCTTGTTGCATGCAGATTTTATAAAGGCATCTACTTCCTGCTGCTGCTGCGCTCGTGTCTCTTCACACCAGCTGTCTATGCCTAAATCCAGCAGAGTTCCATCGGCTCCATAGAGAGGTACTGCAATCTCCATCTGCAGCAGCAGCAGCAGCAGCAGCAGCAGCAGCAGCAGCAACAGCAGCAGTAGTAGTAGTAGGAGCAGCAGTAGGAGCATCAGTGGCAGCAGCAGCAACAACGACAGCAGTAGGAGCAGCAACAACAACAGTAGGAGCAGCAGCAGCAGCAGCACACCTGCCATTATTGCTGCTGCTGCTGCTGCTGCTGCTACCAATGCTGCTGCTGCAACTACCATTACTACTACTACTACCATTACAATCCCCCTGCCGCAGCACCTTCTGCTGCTGTAGCATCTACTGCTGCTGTAGCACCTGCTGCTGCCGCTGCTGCAGCACCTGCTGCAGCACCTGCTGCTGCAGCTGCTGCTGCTGCTGCTGCTGCTTACGTCTCTGTCGTCGTCTCCGTATACGAGGAGTCCGTAGTCCTTCGAAATGCGGTAGAGAGGATTGCCCTCAATGCCGTGTATCCAAGACGCACCCTGCAGCACATGCAGCAGCACAAACCCTCCACTTGCTGCTGCTGCTGCTGCTGCTGTACCTGCTGCAGCAGCAGCAGCTGTTGTTGCCGCTGCTTCCGTATAACGGGCGGCAGCTGCGGGAACTACTGACGCCCCCAAAGCAGCAGCAGAACGACACTTGCACTGTGACCTGCTGATTATTCCTGCTGCTGCTGTTGCTGCTGCTACTGCTGCTGCTGCTGCTGCTGCTGCTGTCTCACGAGATCCAGCCCTTCTATGCCGCCAACCTGCACGCTGCAGCAGCGGCCGCCAATTCTTCCGCGGGCTTCAAACACCTCCACATACACCCCAAATGAAGACAGCAAACGCGCCGCGCTGCAGCAGCAGCAGCAGCAGCAGCAAGCAGCAGCAGCAACAAGCAGCAGCAGCAGCACACAGCAACAGCTATAAGCAAAGACGCCCCCTTATATTTCGATCCCTACAGCCGCCGCTCTTCTATGCACTAAAACATTAACCATAAACACCAAACCCTAAACCCTAAACCCTAAACCCTAGACCCTAAACCCTAAACCCTAAACCCTAAACCCTAGCAGGTACCTCATTCCCGAAAGGCCAGCGCCTATGATAGCAACACGGGTTTGTCGCAGCTGTTCTCGCTGCTTCCTTGGAAGCTGCTGCAGCGTGCAGGTTCGCCCCACACACAAGCGGCGGCAGCAAGCAGCAACTGCTGCTGCTGCTGCTGCTGCTGCTGCTGCTTCTGCTGCTTCTGCTGCTTCTGCTGCTGCTGCTTCAGTTGCAACTCCCTCTTCTGCTGCCTCTCCATCACCTGCTGCTTCTGCTGCTGCTGCTGCTGCTGCTGCTGCTGCATCGTCTTTGCTCAGTGGCAAATCATCTTCGGCCTCGTCTGCTGCTGCTGCTGCTGTAGCCTCTGTTGCTGCTGCTGATGCTGGCTCTTCTGCTGCTGCTGCAGGCTCTCCTGCTGCTGCTGCTGCTGCTACGGGGGCATCCCCCTCCAAAGGAGAAGACAGCGCATCGGCTGCTTCGTCTGCTGCTGCCTGCGGCATGCATTGTTGCTGTTTCTGTTGCTGCTGCTGTTGCTGTTCCTGCTGCTCCTGCTGCAGCTGCTGTACATTACGCATATGAGCTGCAGTTTCCGCAGCAGCGGCTGCTGTTGCTGTTGTTGCTGCTGCTGCAGCTGCTGCTTCGCCTGTTCCTGCTGCAGGCCCCACAAAACTGGCAGCAGCAGGAGTTGATTCCGCTGCTTCTGTTGTTGCTGCTGTCTCTTCTTCTGCTTCTGCTGCTGCTGCTGCTGCAACGCCAAGGGGCTCGTCCTCTGCTGCGTCATCGCTGCTGATTGGAGACAGAGAAGAGACTGGACTCAACTCAGACAGCTCTTGCTGCCTCTGTGCTTCTGCTGCTGCTGCTGCTGCTGCTTCCCGTCCAGCTAGGATGCGACCTTCCTGCTGCTGCCGTTGCAGCAGCAGCATCTGCTGCTGCTGCTGCCACTGCTGAGAAGCATCTGAGTCCGGTGGTAGTTCTCCTGCCTCTGGGGATACCTCATGTGAATAGTGCTGCTGCTGCAGTCGCTGCTGCTGCTGCTGCTGCACTTGCTGCTGCTGCTGGTGCTGCTGCACCGGTTCACGCGGGGACCAAGAGCAAACGAAGGGGCTCTCACGCTGCTCCTGCTGCTGCCGCTGCTGCAGGCCGGGAGAAGGCGTGCTCACTGGTCGATGCCCTAGCCACTGCTGCTGCTGCTGCTGCTGTGCCCACTTCTGCTGCTGCTGCTGCTGCTGCTGTGCCCACCGCTGCTGCTGCTGCTGCTGCTGCTGCTGTGCCCACTGATGCTGCTGCTGCTGATACTGCTGCTGCAGCGGTGTTTGGTGCTGCATTGTTTGTGAATGCTGGTGGTACAATGGCTGCTGCTGCTGCTGCTGGTGCTGCTGCAGATGCCGCTGCTGCAGCTGATGCTGCTGCCGCAGCTGTCGCTGCTCGATCTGCATCTCAGCAAACGCAGAGTGCTGCTGCTCGTGTTCTCGTCTTTGCTGTAGGCGTAGCTGCAGGAGCTGCTGCTGCTGTTGTTGTTGGTACTGCTGCTGCTGCTGCTCCTGCAGCTGCTGCTGCTGCACCCAGTTCTGTGGCAGCGTCTGTTGCGGGGGCGCAGCATTTTGCTGCTGCAGTCTCTGCTGTTGCTGCTGCTGCTGCGGTGTGTGCCAGTCAACTGGGGTCTGCTGCTGCTGCTGATGCTGCTGCGCTGTATGCCAGTCAACTGGGGTTTGCTGCTGCTGCTGCTGCTGCTGCTGCTGCTGCAGCGAAGGAGCACCGTGGGGGCCCCTCATGAAGGCATGTGCCAGAGGGGGGCCCTCATTTCTAAGGCGGCGATCTCTTGGATGCTGCATGAGGTACACGAATTCAGATTATAATGAAGCTGCTGCGCTGCTGCTGCTGTTGCTGCTGCTGCTGCTGCTGCTGTTGTTGTTGCTGCTGCAGCTGCTGCTGTGGTTGCTGCTGCTGCTGCTGCTGCTGCTGCTGGTTGTCGAGACGCTGGTTGTGGTGGTGGTGGTGGTGGTGGTGGTTGAGTTAGTGCTGCTGCTGCTCCTCCTACTGGTTGAGGTGCTGCGGCTGCTGCTGCTGCTGCTGGCTGAGGTATTGTTGTTGCTGCTGCTGCTGCTGCTGCTGCAGTCATGGTGGCTCCAGTGCTACGGTCATCCCTTGTGCTGCCTTAGCAGCTACAGCATCTGCTGCTGCTGCTGCTGCTGCTGCTGTTTCTGCCGTTCCTGCTCCTCTTCTCACCGCTGCTGCTGCTGCAGCAGCTGCTGCTGTCGGTACATCGAGCCTTTCGCTGGCTGCCTCTTGCGGTGTATGTGTACAGCGCAGCAGCAGCAGCAGCAGCAACAGGTGAAGCAGATAAAGGAGAGCTTCCTGAATTGCTGCTGCTAGAAACTTACATTTGCTGCAGCACAAATTCCCCGCAGCAGCAGCAGCTGCTGCTGCTGCAGACAGAGGGGGGCAGACGAAGCCCCTGGGTATTTGTATGGTTTGCTGCTGCAGGTACACGAGTAAATAAATTAATTATATTTCTGAAAATATAATTATTTAGTTATTTACGAATGATATTATTGTAGAACAGAATAAAGAAGGCAAAGCTAGAACGATATTTGGCTGGGTCGAGCTAGGGTTTAGGGTTTAGGGTTTAGGGTTTAGGGTTTAGGGTTTAGGGTTTACAGTTAGCGTTTACGGCTCACGCTCTGGGGAGACTTTAGAGGGTTTAGGGTTTAGGGTTTAGGGCTTAAGGTTACGGACTAGGGTTATGGGTTAGGGTTGGGGTTTATAGATAGTGTTTGGAGTATAAGGTTTAGGGTTTAGGGTTTAGGGTTTGAGTTTAGGGGTGGTTATAACTTCGAAATAAAATGATTGTGGGGCTTATGGGGCTGGGGTTTAGGGATAAGATAAGAGCAATGGTTTAGGGTTTAGGGTTTATAAGCGCGCGGCAGTCGTCTAGGGTTTAGAGACCCCCGCAAGTAGGGTTTAGGGTTTAGGGTTAATGACTGAAGGCTAGGGTTTAGGGCTAGGGTTAAGGGTTTAGAGATAAAGACATAGGGCTAGGGTTTGAAGCTAGGGTTTAGGGTTTAGTATTAAGACTAGGGTTCAAGGCTAGTAGGGTTTAGGTTTAAGGTTAGGGTTTAGGGTTTAGGGTTTAGAATTAGGGTTTAGGGTTTCTATCTTTAACCTGTGCTACGGGCGTTATCAGTTGTTGGCTGCAGCAATGGCCTCCTTAGTTGTAGAGGGTTTAGGGTTTAACTCCTAAACCCTAAACCCTCACCCTAAGCCCAAGACCCTAAACCCTAAACCCTAACCCTAAACCCTCACTGGTTAAGCTTTCAGCAACACTAGGTAGCCTTGAGGGTTTAGGGTTAGAGATGAGGGATTAGGGTTTAGGGTTTGGCGTTGTGGCGTTGAAGAGGAGGTTAGGGTTTAGGGTTTAGGGTTTATACAGCCGATAAGGTTGTGGGGCTGCTCTAAGAACCCCTCATGCATTTGTCTTTGTACAGGCTGTACGTACACCCCAAACCCCTATGTCTCTAAGGCCTAGCTGCAGCTAGCTGCAACTAGCTGCAGCTAGCTGCAGCTAGTTGGATAGCCGCAGCTAGCTGCGGCTATCTGTAGCTACCTGTAGATAGCAGTGGATAGGCGTAGCTAGCTGTAGCTAGCTGTAGTTAGCTGTAGCTATTCGTAGCTAGCTGCAACTAGCCGTATCTAGGTATCTCTAGCTGCTGCTAGCTGTAGCTAGCTGTAGCTAGCTGCAGCTAGGTATCGCTAGCTAGCTGCAGGGCGGTACTAAACCCTAAACCCTCAGCCTTTCCCTTTACAGCAAAACCCTAAACCCTCAGACGAACTGAGGGTAAGCTGCATGTACACCCCAAGCAGCAGAAGCATTTATAAAAAAGACAAAACAGCAGAGACAGCTCGCAGTAGCAGCAGCAGCAGCTCCTGCTGCTGCTGCTGCTGCTGCTGCAGTTGCTGGCGCCGTTCGGCGTCGTCTATAGCAGGGATTCAAAACAGAAAAGAAGGTTTAGGGTTTAGGGTTTAGGGTTTAGGAGCAGCAGCAAAGCCCCGCTTAAAGCAGCGGCAGCAGCATGCCGTGTATATTGCGCGGTGTTTTGCTTGAAGAAAACAAAGACAAACGCTTCAGCTCTTCTAAACAAAGACAAGCAGTAAACGCTGGCCAAGGCTGAGACAACGCTCGCCCACTCTGCAGCAGCAGCAGCAGCAGCAGCAGCAGCAGAAGCAGCAAAGAGGAAGGATCAGCAGCGGAAGCAGCAAAGGAGAGGAGAGCACCAGCAGCAAAGCAGCAGCAGCAGCACTTCAAAACACCAACAGCAGCAGCATACGACCAATACAGCAGCAACAGAACCAGCAGCAGCAACAAGGGAAGCAGCAGCAGCAAGCGCAGCAGCAACAACAGCAAGCGCAGCAGCAACAACCGGTGCAGCACTGCCAAAACAGCAGTTGCAGCAGCAGCGCTTGCAGCAACAGCAGCAGCAGCGGCAGCAGGTGCTGCTGCTGTTGGTGCGCTTACGAGCTGCTGATCTTTCTGCAGCAAATCCCCGTAGAAGTTTAAGAAGGAGACTCGGTAGCGAGACTTCGCAAAACGCAGCAGCGCCTCGTCCTTTTGCTGCTGCTGCTGCTGCTGCTGCTGCTGCTGCTGCTGTGGCTGCTGCTGCTGCTGCGGCGGCGGTGAGCTGAGGGATCGTGGGGAGGCAGCAGTATCAGTAGAAGGAGGTTGCGAGTTGCTTGTATCGTCTTTGTCTGCTGCAGCTGCTGCTGGTGCTGCTGTTGGTGAAGCTGCTGCTGCTTCGGTTGCTGCTGCTGCTGCTGACTCGCTGCTGCTAGCTGCAGCAGAGCCGCTATCTCCATCAGCAGTTGCTGCTGCTTCTGTGCTTCCCTCGCTCTCCTCCATGCCT